TGTCCTAATGCACCCTAATCATTAGGTGGCGACTCTTTAAATCAAACCCAATTCCCAAAAGGAATGAGTTGTCCTCCCCAAATGTCACAAACCCGATTTCCGCGAAGGAAAAAGGGGGCGCGACAGTAATTTGGGTCATTCGTTTTCCCAGCTTCATTTGGTCGCTTCATCTCCGGAAGCTCAATGAGATTTAACTCGAGGAGTTCTTCGAAAATGGTTGGCACATCAGAATCCAGAAATGGGTACTCTTTCCCTTGCATTTCTTTTAGAGTCAACTTTCCACTTGGCTTATCTTGAAAAGAAGTGGATTTCATTCTCTGCTTCTTGCTCACCTTTGCTATGAACTTCACAGGTGATGTATTGACATTCATAATTGTTTTCATATTTGGATACAAACATGCCCCATTTCTTGACTTCTTGCTTGTTGTTCCCTTTGCGAGGCTCATAGATAGGCAACCTTTCATTTCCAGCGGAGGCCATGCTCAACTCCATGTCATGGGCACGAATGGCAAGTTCTTCAAATGTGCCAGGCTTTATACCTTGCAAGATGTAGCATAGTCCCCAATGCATGCCTTGGATGCACATCTCTATGCCCGAAACTTCACTAAGCATGCCTTTGCAGTTGAGGCTTGCATTCCTCCAACGATTGATAAAGTCGATAACTGGTTCACCCTTTCGTTGACGAGTATTTGTAAGTTCTATTATACTCACAGTACGTCTCGTGCTATAAAAGCGATTGAGGAATTCTTGCTCTAGTTGATCCCAGCTATCAACAGATCCAGCCTCGAGGTCTGTGTACCAATCAAAAGCATTTCCTTTTAATGAGCGGACAAACTGCTTGACGAGGTAATCTCCATAAGTCCCAGCATTATTGCATGTCTCAACGAAGTGCACCACATGTTGCTTTGGATTGCCTTTGCCATCAAACTGTTGAAATTTTGGAGGTTGATAGCCAGCAGGCATCTTCAACATATTGATCCTTGAAGTGTACGGCTTTGCGTAGGTAAAGGAGGACTTGGAAGCAACTTCATATTTGTTCTTAATGGTTCCTTCACTGAACTCCTTTAGTTGATTAATTGGAATCATCCCTTCCGAAGAGACTGGAATTTCCTTAGTGGATGCAACTTGTCGTGGGGGAGGATCAATCTCTTGAACTTCTGGGAGTTTGCCAGGTGCATGGGTGGATTCTTCTTCCATCAAGATTTCCACCCTGTCTGTTAGCTTGTCAATTCTAGCCTCTTGATTTTGCATGCATTTGGTCAAGCCAGCGATTGCTTCTGTCAAGTTTGCCAACTGGTCCTCCACAGATGAAGTGTTTGTCACCATGGCTTGCATGATTGTTGTGGACGATGGAGAGTAGCATGGATTGTCACACAGATTGATCCTTGATTGGCCCATGCTATGTGGTGTAAGTGGGGAGGATCCATCAGTTGAAGCATCATCATCTTCCTTCACAGCAGAGTGCTTGGATACGGAGAGGTCAAGCAGAGCAAGAGTTTTCTTGATCTTTTCAGCAACATCGCTTCCTCCTTCGAGTGCGTTTGTGGACTATCTTGCTCCTTTTGAGGATGAAGATTCGAAAACAGGGGTAGATGCGGACGGCACTTGGGGTGCTTGTTGTCCTAACGAGCTTGCTTTGCTCCTCGTAATTGGTCCAAAGCTTCCAAAGGTAACTTCGAGTATGTTTTCCACATCAGCATAGAACCTGGAATTAGCAGCCTTGGTGGAAGTTGAACTAGAGTTGATTTTCTTTGAAGCCATTTCGATGTTCTTGAACTTTGGTGGTTGAGTCGAGATGAGAGGTAGAGATTGTCCCACTGGGCGTGCCAGAATTTGTAGACAATAAATTTGCACAAGAAAATAAAATCAAGACCGAAAAATATCACAACAATCGTAGTATTTTATTTCGAATATTTGAGTGTCACAATCTATATGATTCCTCTGATTCTACTTTTCTAATATAAATTCGAGGGCCTTTGAGCTTGATCTTGAATTTGAATTTGATTTATCCGTCGCGAACACTTTGATTGTTGCCACGAATTGTATTACGAACAAGTAGCCTTGATCTTGAACGCCTTGTATTTAATTTGACTTCGTTCTTGATCTTGAATACTTGAATTGTTCTTCGTTCTTGAGCTTGAACTTGATTCTTGAACTTTGAACTTGAAGCTTGAAACTTGTGGAGGAATTTGCAACGTTTGATCCACGAGCTCTCTCTTGCTTCTTGTTATAACTTTTGGTGTCTTTTCTGAGTTATGAAGACCCCTATTTATAGTTGTGGAAGGGAGGAGTCATGATAAGAACAAACTCTTTCCGACCAATCAAATTGAAGTGTGACATAGCCGCATTTGATTGGTCAGAACATGTCACTTGCACACGTGGCGCAATTTCATTGGCCTTTCAGTGTGACTGGGCATGCCTTGTCATTTTGACACGTGGCATGGTCCTATTGGCTCTTCCGCTTGACTTGGCGCGCCACGTCATTTGACATGTGGCACCAAACTGGGCCTCTAAGACTTATTTATTTAATCCATATATAGTGGACTTATATAATTAATTCAATTATATTAGCCCATATATTTATTTGGACCAATATATCTTTAATTTAAAATATAGTCCAAATTATTTTATGGATTTAATTTTAATAAAATTTATATGCCTACAACTACAACTGCATAATTATATTTATTTTTACATATTCTGAACTATTTCGCTGAATGTATCGACAATACCGTTATATTTTCGAGGTGCCTTCCTCTTATCAGTAATTACTGAAGCAACATTCTTCCTGGCGCACATCAACATTGTTCTACAGATGACATCAAGAGGGTAAGCAACAATCTGGCTGATGGTTCCAGCAGCATCACCACATACAAGCTTCGTTATAACACTCAATTTAGTGTCTACATGCTGAATACAACTATTTCTTTAATGTAATATTTTTTTGTATCGTCAATTGCTATTACACTCAATTCTTTTTATTCAATTTAATATAAACTATTTCAGATAGTTTACCATTCAAATGATTGTTGCATCGTCAATTACTTTTATACTTAATTTATTCTTTTTCTACCTGATTAAAATATATTCTTTTGTGTGTAACACATAAATACGTGTAACTCATGTACACTAAATTTAGTATGAAAACAACCAAAAAGAAATCGATTAATGTGAACCGGAGGCACTAGTGAAAATCAGAGATTTACCGGAAATATGTGAACTTTCAGACCGACAGTAACAAAATTCAGTTTTTTAGTATTTCGAAATTACGGTCCGACTATTGCTCTTTACACAAACTTTTTTTATCCATTTATTAAAAATACATTATTCCAGCGTATAAATAGTAGCTCAAAAGGGTTTCCACAATTTTCCCACAGCCAGCATTTTGCTCGAGCTACTGCGACTGCTGCTTCCAACAGGTAACGTGTACCCTTCTTCTCTCTTAAAATTAACTTGGTTTTTCATAGTTTAGCTTCTAATTCTAATATGGGGTTTATTCTATTGAACTAATTAATTGTTTGAATCACTCCAAAAGAATTGATAGGAAGTGATTTGCTTGGATTCTTGAATTTTTTGTATTTTAGCTTCCCAGAATCTTCAATTAATTGTGTTATTTGTGGGTTGATTTACTGTAGATTTTTCTTCTGTATCAATCTTGATGGTAGTACTATATGTGTGAGAAATCATTACTAGAACTATGGTTGTGCTTGAATAAGATTCTTGATTTATTTTTATTAAATGACGGTGATATCTAGGCCAGCTAGCACACACCTCAAATTTCATTGGGTACTTGCTACCTCCCATCATTACAGCTATTGGGTTTGGGTAACTCTGCCCATTAAGGCTTAGACGAAAAAATTACTCGGTGTTTTTTTGTTTTCGTGAGATTTGAACCTGACACCTCATGATTTTCCTCCCATTTCATTGACCACTAAAATAAGATTCACGATTTGTGAAGTGACTGCCAAATGAATATGTGAAGGAGGCAATCTCTTTTTGTTCTGGTTTATGGTTTGCAGAATCTCAAAAGAGTAGTAGTTTTAGTTAGTGTAAAAACTTGATTGGGAAGTAGTTTTCGTTGACTTTTGATGAACGGAACCTGATTGGATAACTCCTATTGTTAAAAGGAGGATTTTTTGTGCATCTAGTTATCTTTAAGGCTAGTGGTGAAAAAAGTTTGTTTATCGATGTTCGATGATTCCACTGAAATTTCATAGTGTCTTCTACCTACGTGCGTGCAATAGTTCTATCGGTCTTTTCTTGAGAGGTACGACTGTTGTTCTAAGGTTGTTTCTTCAGAGATTTATAGAAGTGCGTTGTCCTTAACATTGGTAACCTGGTGTACATTTCAACCTAGAGACATGAGTTCTGATTTTCTACTTATTATATCGTTGAACTTACATTTCTTTGGTCAGGCAACTGCTCATGACTAGGAAACCTCTCTACTACATGAACTTTTGTAGTATTTAAAAATTTGAAATCTATTGGTATGAAATCTCCTCTTACAACCAAAATGTCTCCACCAAAATAGATCGTAAGTGATATTGAACCACCAACAACAAACCCAGTAGTTTCCCACAAGTGGAGTTTTGGGAGGGTAAGATGTAAGCAGCCTTACCTCTACCCCTGGAAGGGCAGCGAGGCTGTTTCCGATAGACCCTCCCCTAGAGAATGTCTGAAAAAGAAAAGTTAATTGCAACAAGTAATGATAATAGCAAGAAGAAATACGATCGAATTCAAGAATGCAGTCAAAATCTAGGTAGTAATAGCCATCTATGAATAAAAGATGTCATACTAACACTAATGCAGTAATGCTAGCGAATTGAGTAAGACAAAGTGAAACGCTCGACTACCTATGAACCTTCTACCCTAATCTTTGACTGACACCCTCCTGTTTAGTGCCATGTCCTCAGTCAGCTCCAGCTGCGCCATGTCTCGCCTAATAACCTCTCCCGAAAACTTCATAGGCCTACCTCTACCTCTCCTGCTGCCCACCGAGGCTAACCGCTCGCCCACCTTCTAACGGGGACTTTGATACTTCTCCTCTTAACATGCCCGAACCATCTCAACCTCGCCTCTCGAATCTTATCCTCCACAGGGGCCACTCTCACCTTTTCCCGAATAACTTTATTCCTAATCTTATCCAACCGGGTATGTCCACACATCCACCTCAACATCCTCATCTCAGCTACTTTTAGCTTCTGGGTATGAGAGTTCTTGACCGGCCAACACTCTGCTCCATACAACATAGTCGGTCTAACTACAACCTTGTAAAACTTACCTTTAAGTCTCATCGGCACATTCTTATCGTACAATACACCGGAAGCGAGCCTCCACTTCATCCATCCTGCTCCGATACGATGCGTGAGATCTTCATCAATCTCCCTGTTACCTTGTATTTTAGATCCAAGATACTTGAAACTACCTCTCTTGGGGATGACTTGCATATCAAGCCTCACCTCCATATCCCCTTCCTGGGTACCGTTGTTGAACTTGCACTCCATGTATTCCCATTTGTCTGAATTATTAACATACATATCATACCCATTTGACATGGATGTGTCAAGCCAGGTGATGAGTAAATGCACTAGAAACTCAAAGGTGAAGCTAGTTCTAAAGGTATTCTGATGACAAGACGATAGAGGCTTGGTTGCTGCTAATTCTTTAGATCTACATTCTCCTGTTTCACTCCACTTCTTAGATTTCATGGATGCCGATCCTTTTTTGGTAGTGAGGGGTGGTTTGGTTTGGTTTGGTTTTATTGATATATACTCATTCATGTTTGATCAATTTCAATTTTGTGGGAAGACAATAATAGCATTTATATCTAGAACTCAGCCTATGGCACATGGAACATGTCAACTCAAGATAAACCAGTAAGAGTTCAGGTTATTATGTACACAGTTCGTAACTAGGGGTGTACAAACCGAACCGGAAAACCGCACCAAACCGAAAAGTCAAACCAAACCGATTAAAAAACCCGACTAGGTTTGGTTTGATTTGGTTTGGTATTGAGTAAAAAAACCCGAACCAAACCGACATATAAATATATAAACTTTATATATACTTTTAAGACTTTATATAGAATTTTCTTTATAAAAATTCTAAAAATATTTGGGATTCTCTTATGGAATGTAATATTTAATAGAATATGAAGTACTCCATTTTTACTAACCTTAAATAATGGGTTATATGATCACTTTCTTATCAAGTAATACTGAAATGCGTCAATTTCTTTGTTCTTCCTTGTTCATATATCAAGATTTATTAAATTCTTATATCTTTTTCAAATTTGAAGTGGTATTTTGATAATCTAAAATTAAATAGAACTTATCACTAATTAGGTATCATGTTGATTTTTATGTTTAATTATTAAATTCGTTTAACCTTATAAGTATACATCAACGAAAAATTATTGTCAGAGGACTAAAAAAATAACTATCATGTGTTATTAACAAAATACTACCATAAAAATATTTAAATAGATCATATGTTTGTCAAGTTTTTCAATTTTTACTAAACATATATTTACTTATAAAAAGTTTAACAAAGTAAGATTGAAATAATATTCACATAACAAAAAAAAACCCGAAAAACCCGACAAAACCGAACCAATCCAATCCGATGTAGTTGGTTTGGTTTGGTTTTAATAAAAACCAAACCAACCCGGTCCATGTACACCCCTATTCGTAACAGCAGAAAAAATGGTGTTGGATGACTAAATGCTATTTTCCCACTATACTATGTTGACAGCTAATGCACCTCAACGGTGCTGAAAAACGTGTATTATCTGTTTTCATTATTTCTGATTGTTTAATTGTGAATATTTTTGTTCATTAATGAAGGTCTTCAATTGAAATCTTAGAAATAAGTACTTCAGAACGCACCTGTAATTTCTAGTCTTACATTAAGTTTTTTCTTTTATCTCCTGGATTTTACATTCATGTTCGATGTGGACTCTAATTCGTCTTCAATATGCCTCCTAGGTCAGATTAATTTGTAGCTCAGCTTGTGGTAGTAGCAGTTTGCAATGGCAGATGGCCAAGAAAATGACAAGAATATTGAGATATGGAAAATGAAAAAGTTAATCAAAGCCATGGAATCTGCAAGAGGAAATGGTACCAGTATGATCTCTCTTATTATACCTCCTGGTGATCAGATATCCCGGATAACAAGGATGTTGGCAGAAGAATATGGTACTGCATCCAATATTAAGAGCAGAGTAAATCGTCAGTCCGTCCTTGGTGCAATAACGTCCGCCCAGCAGAGGCTTAAGCTGTATAATAAGGTACCTCCTAATGGGTTGGTCCTTTATACTGGAACTATAATGACTGACGATGGGAAGGAAAAGAAGGTAACCTTTGACCTTACACCTTTTAAACCAATAAATGCGTCTCTGTACCTATGTGACAACAAGTTTCATACGGAGCCTCTGGGCGAGCTGTTGGAATCAGATGAGAAGTTTGGTTTCATTGTCATGGACGGTAATGGCACTCTTTTCGGAACCTTAAGTGGCAACACTAGGGAAGTCCTTCATAAATTCACTGTTGACCTTCCCAAGAAGCACGGAAGAGGAGGTCAATCAGCTCTGCGATTTGCTCGTCTTCGAATGGAGAAACGGCATAACTATGTGAGGAAGACAGCAGAGCTTGCTACTCAGTTCTTCATTAATCCAGCCACTAGCCAGCCAAATGTATCTGGACTAATACTTGCTGGGTCAGCTGATTTCAAGACAGAGCTGAGCCAGTCTGACATGTTTGATCAACGCCTACAAACAAAGATACTTAATGTGGTTGATGTGTCCTATGGTGGGGAAAATGGATTCAATCAGGCTATTGAGCTATCTGCTGAGATTCTCGCGAATGTGAAGTTTATACAAGAAAAGCGCTTGATAGGAAAATTCTTTGAGGAAATCAGTCAAGATACTGGAAAGTATGTATTTGGTGTGGATGACACAATAAAAGCTCTTGAGATGGGAGCTGTTGAAACTCTTGTTGTTTGGGAAAATCTTGATATAAACCGTTATGCGCTGAAAAATAGTGTTACCAACGAGATTGTCATTAAGCACCTAAACAAGGACCAAGAGGCTGATCACAGCAACTTCAAGGATCCTGACACCTCAGCTGAATTAGAGGTCCAGGACAAAATGCCGCTATTGGAGTGGTTTGCCAACGAGTACAAAAACTTCGGTTGTTCACTTGAGTTTGTCACTAACAGGTCTCAAGAGGGGTCACAGTTCTGTCGAGGATTTGGTGGCATTGGGGGGATCCTTCGCTACCAGGTTGACATGCGTTCGTTTGATGAGCCATCTGATGAAGGAGAATATTTTGAGGATTCTGATTAAGCTTTATCTCGTCTCCTTAGTCCTGATGATGGATAAGAGATGCAATTTGTCGAAAGTTTTGAGGTTACCTAGTAATGAGTTTCCTGCTATCATGCTGAATATCAATCACTGAATTTTGGCTGTTGTTAAAAATTGTTTGCTTTTCTTTTACATGTGAAACAGGTTTCTTTGGGACTATCTTCAATTCGAAAGGGGACTTATTGTTTATGAGCCCCTCTACCTTATCGTTGTGTGTTTGTTATGGCTTTCTTGAGCTATGTTTATTTATAGTGGAATTTAAGTTGCTACACTTACTGGCAGAACCCAGTCATTCTTGTAAACATTAAGAAGATTAAGTACTAAGTTGTAGAGTCTAGAAAAGTATTTAGGTACCATATAGATGTAGGAGCTGCTTAAACGCTTTTACATTGGCATGTTTTATCATTTCCTTACAGATCAGGAGATAGGTAATATTACTAGACTATGCCTTAGAGTTGTAAATTATCTTAGATTGCTCTGTCATTTTCAATAGAGTTATCAGAAAGCATACGTTTTTCTCCACTAACCAAGTAGATTCATTACCTTTAGTTTTAACCTATGGTTGGGGTGGGGATGCACTTATTTCTGCAGTTTCTCTTAGAAAATGGAACGAGGATAAATCTGTTCTAAGTTAAAGACCATGGGCACACAAATTGCAGTTTGAAATGTTCTAGTTCTAAGTGGGAATGCATGTGATGATGGTTGTGTATGTGACATCTCGACACTTCTATGCTTGGATGTGAATTTCTTGGATAATGTCTCAGATCTTGTCATTGGAAAGATGTTAGGATGAAGCAGTGTCCAAGTTGTAAGTTGATAATGTATGTGGATATGTTTCTTAAATGCCATAACATCCAGTGATATAGGGCATGAAAAAATTGATGTCAAGCTAGAGATCTTTCCTTACAGCAATGGAAGTAAAACTTCTTAGCAATTTGGTGTTGAAACTTATCATTATAAATTGGCAGTGAGTCTGCATCTCTTGATGACATCTATTGTTGTCAACCTTGAAAATTTTGATTTTGCTGTACAATGCATGCTGAGTAGTTCTTTTTCAGTTTACTTATGGATTGATTGCTTAGAGTTACACCAATAACTTGTCAAATTTCCAGGTCTTGATTTAATGTCAGTTTTCTGCATTTAGTTGTGGCGATGAAGCTTAATTAGACGCAGCGGGTTTGACCAAACTCGCTACGTCTACGCTAGATGGGCCACTGTTTGTGGATTCAACCTGTTTGACAGGCAGCAAAGTTGTGGTTGCAGGAAATGATGCTTCCTTGTATGCTGTATTTTATAAACCTAATCATGCATGTTGTACATTGCATGCTTCCTTGTGTTAACTGTATCATCCTAATCATGTAGTTGTACATTTGCATGTTCCTAGTTCTTTCATATGCAAAAGGATTTCAAAAACTTTGTTCAAAAGAGTCCCCACATCTCCCCACCCACACCAAATCCTTTTTCTCTACCACTCTTTTAAATGCAATATTGGCAGAATACTGTAGAAAGCAGGTGGTCGGATTGTGCTTCTTTTGGACAATGGATGATGATGATGTGACAAGAAACAATTGAATGACCAACGAAGGTTGTGGTGAAATAGTAAGTACTCTTTCATCCTTAACCAAAGTCTCGAATATCAGCCTTGGGTATAGAGTCGCCTCTATTAGGGTGCGTTTTACTTCCAATCAGAGGCGAACTCATGGAGGCACTAATATTATGCTCAACCAGTGCCCACTAAATATGCATATAAAAGATTTCTGCCGAACTTTACGGGGTATGGTAACCCTGAAGGTTACACATAGGTTTGCCTCTGCTTACAATATGGGATTTTCCGGCTCGAATCTGGTAAACAAAAAAAAGAAAAGAAAAAAGAAACAAGTGAATGAAAACTTTGGTCATTTGGTGTCAGTTAATAGTGACCTCATTCAGGATGTGGCACTGTTTTGTTTTCCTACATGCATGTGCAAGATTGGTACAACTATTCATCATAAAGCAATGTTGTCATCGTTCCTTTTCAATGATGAAATAGTCAAATAGTTTCTATGTTTGCTTCCTATTCAATACAGCACTGTTTGAGGAATTCGTGCAATTAATTTTTACTGAGTACGTTAGCCTGGTATTTTGGTCGTCTTGATTTCATAAGCATAAAGGTACCAACCAAGATTTCAGGAGTGGCTATTTCAAAAAATTTACCGTTTTCTTCTAATCGTTGTTATTTGTCCATAATTGATTTATCCTCTTCGTGAAGCATACAGAAGATACTATCTCCGGTCCATATTATTTGTTTTATAAAGTTTTTGCGTAGTTCTAAGAAAAATATTTAATAGCTTTAATCATAAAAGTTTTTGTTTAAAATGCTCTTTTTAATTTTTTAACATCTCACATACTTAACACTTCACTAATTGGGACAATAGGGGTAAAATGTTTAAAATGTTCACGAGACATACAAGTAAAGGTGTTCAAATCGTCACTAGCTAAGTTAGAGTATCTAACTGACAAATCATGCCAAACCAAAATTTACAGCTTCACAGTTTAAAGTCACAGAAAATGGTCCAAACAATAGTGGGCATATAGTTGAAAGACAAGCATTAGGTACAAGATGGTCCTAACTTCTATAATCCTCGTTATTCAGGCTGTATCTGCCTCCAACTCCCTATAGAAAACTACTTTTAACTGATTTTCATCAAACACTATTCTCATTCACACCACATAATCACATCATCAGAGATTTTTTGGCACAAATTTCTATCAATGAACACATGGTTCTTCTTTTGAATAATATATACAGCTTAATCTTCATTGTCTAACTATTGTGCTTCATTTAATGTTGCCAAACATTATCTTGACCATGACAAGATAGAAAAGTTAGTGTTTGTAAGCTTGTGAAATTCAGTAGACACATGCGTAGAAAATTTATGATGTATGAGCCGTTTATCATGTGGAGCCGAAAGTTTATCGGAAACAACATTTGTACCTGCACAAGATAAGGGTAAGATTTGCGTATACATTATTCGTCCTAGATCCGACTTGTAGGATCATACCGGTATATTGTTGTTGAGCCGTTTCCGATGCGGTAGAATGATATTTTGCAAAATTCATTTATGGTAGAATGATATTTTGCCAAAAGCAACATTACTCTAATGGAATGCACGAGAAGGACCAATGGATTAGGTTGGTGATATTCACTGCATTTATGAGGTATTATTCGCTTAGAGACAAATCCAGAATTTACTGAATTATGTATTATGGAACTTATGAGTTGAAAAAATGATATATATATTTTTTAAATTTTTTTATTAATTTTCTTATATTTTATGTTAAAAATACTGAATTTAGGTGAACTCATTGAACATAAATTCCATTTACCTTTGATCCACCTAAAGTTGGCTCTAAGTAGTTGAGCTTATATTATCATTTGCGGTAGCAAGGCATCCGCGAGGTTTATCGAAAAGAAAAATAGTATGGCGAATTAATGGTTTTGACATTATGCGTAACATATGATATAATGTTTTCACTTCTTCCCCTATTCTAGAAAAATGGAGACTTAGAGAAACGGTAAAGTTGTGTCCGTATGACTTATAGTTTACGGATTCACGTCATGAAATCAGCCGTTATGCTTGCATCAGGTTAAGTTGTCTACATCACTTTTCCTTGGGTTGCGGCCAGGGACAAATTTCGGGGGGCCCGAACACCCTTTCGCTGGAAAATATACTCTACATATAAGGCAAAATTTGATTTGTACCTCTATATATTATATTTTGAATCCCCTTGGCACAACCAAAAATCATTGTTTAGTGTTAAAGGTAGGGCTGCTTATCGGGCGGATTGGGCGGTTATTTACTCTTAACGGTTTGGCTTATTGGTTATCGGCTTTTAGATGTATTAATCCGCTAGCCACCCGATAAGATATCGGGCGGATTGGTATCGGTTTAGCTCTTATCGGGCGGTTTATCGGCCTAATTCAATCTATATTGCACATGACACAATTTACCAAATTTAGCGAGGGTCCAAAATTTGCTTCGCTGTGCTTCAAATGTATGCTAATGTTGGTCAAAGAATGGGATTTTCTGCTCTTGTTTTATAACTGCTCCAATTTTCTTTAGGTGTCGCTCTAATTTCTAAACAATCCCAGAACACTTGCCGAAATGTGTGCGGACTGACTTTTTTTTTTACATGCAAGCAAACCTGCAAATGTATGTGTTAAACCCAATTTAACAGCAGATTCTACTTGCTAAACTATCTCTTGTTTGTTAAGTTGTTGTACTTCCACTGCACCTACTGGAGGTGGTAAGAATACGTGAAGCAATCAAGTAAATTAATTTGGTTTGATAGGATTGAAAAGAATGCGCGAAGCAAGCAATTAAAATTTGTCTAATAGTAAATTAGTAATAGAGAATAGAGATAGAGTACTGGAAGTGGAAGAAGGGTTTTTGATTATTTAATATATATATGGATAAAAATAAATTTTATATGTATATATATTCTTAACGGGTTAACGGATTATCCGTTAAGAAAATTGAAAAATCCGCCCCCAAACCGATAAGCCGTTAATAACAAAATTTTAATCCGTTCCCCGTCCGTTAAACCATTAACCCAATACCAATAAGCCATTAAGCTTCTGTTTCGGTTCGGTTTTCGGTTTTGGTTCGGTTTTGAACACCCCTAGTTAAAGGGGTTCAAAAATTTTGCTAGTCGCTGGTTCAATTCCACTAGCTATAGTTTTTTTTAACTTTTTTTTTATCCCCTTAGCGGAAATTCTACATCAGCTGTTAGGTGCAGCTCTTTTCTGAACCCTACGTAAACGCGAAATACTTCGTATATCGAGCTGCTTTTTGTCCCGGTTCGAGAAGTGGAGCTCCTTTTATTTCCGTAAAGGCAAGGTGGCAGCGAAACTTTCACGTTTTAGAACTAGAGAACATAAATGTTGTATTATGATGCACTAATCTCAAGTTAATTTGGAGTATACATGCAAAAAGTTTATGTTAGTGCAAGGGATAGGATTAAAAGGGAGAAAAAAATATCTTTTTGCAATATGTATATTTTTTTCCTTTGGCCTAAGCAATTAATAATATACACAAAATGACAATAGAGTAGTTATCATCCTAATGAACTACTACTCCCCCTCTTTTCTTGCTCCTCAATCTCCTTATGTCCTATTGAAGTCCGAGGAGAAGAGAAAGAAGAAGCAGCAGAAGAATAAGTAGTAAATGAATCAGAAGTACAATTAGTTGGAGGAATTATAGAAAACTCAACAAGCAAATCAACAAAAGCACCTACAATAAATCCATGATTTACTTTCCCATTCATCTTTAAATACCATCCTAATAACTCTTGTAATGATTTCCAAGAATCTTTAATCCCATGTGTTTCCACCATTTCTTCCATTGATTTCTTGAAATCTAAATATGGATCCTCTGATTCCATAGCCAATGCTACACTTTCTTTAAATGGCAAGTTTTCATCTTCTTCTTCTTCTGCTTCTTCTTCTACTTTTTGTTCTTCTATTTTCCCTAGTGCTCGTTCTTGATTTTGACTTGGTTTTTCTTCATTCAAGATTGAGCTAGTACAATTTGGCTCAAAGAAAAGCCTTTCTGAACGAACCCCTTTTATGATCATTTCCAATGGTTCACCTGTTCCTAACAAATCATCAGATTCTGTTGAAAAACTAGCTGATTCTGAGGAATTTGTGAACCAAGATTCTGGTGTTTCAATATTTTCAACCCCATGATCAGAAGGGTCAAAAAAGACAGAATTTATAGTCTTGAAAATGTTGTTGTCATTTGCTCTAAAAGATAGAGTCTTGGAATTTGCACAAGATGGCCATTGCCATGAACCAAGATTCATTTTCTTGCCCATAATAATAGCTTAGTAGTACCCTTTGTTATATTTGATCAAGAATCTAACTTTTTTGGGTAGTTTCTAGGGTTGTTTTTGGGATAGAAAAAAATTGTGATTTTTTGGGGGTATTAATGGTGTGATAAAAAGGAATAGCAAAAGGGAAGGGAGATATAAAGGAGAGGTGAGAGGAAAGTGGAGAGAAATGGGGGGTGGTAGGTCCATTCATGTGTGTTATTTAATTTGTATGTATTGAAGAATTTAATGGTTTTAAATGCAGTATCACGAAGAAATGAACATAGCAGTACATTTATTGCAACTAAAATTATAAAATTCTAATTGCATTAAAGGAAATTTTATAATCAAGTTTGCTTAGCCAACAAAGTGCTGCCTCCTTATAATTTAATTTCCTAATCTAATCATGAGCAGGTTCTTATTTAATTATGTTGGCTACAGAATTTTATGAAAGATATATTCCGCAGTTACATCATATGTAATAATACAAGTAGATTATCCTTTTTAAACTAACATTTGTTTAACTTATTTGTCTTTTTATTTTATAATCATGATGTTCGAGTCAGTTTATGCACACCTTAATAAATTTTATAAGATACTTGCTACCTTTCACAAACTTTTTCATTTGTTCAACTTATTTGTGGTTACCATATTAGGATCATTTTAACTTTCTCTTGTGACTAGTGATGCTTTTGTGATGCATATATCTATTTCTCTTGACATTAATTTATTCTAGAAGCCATCACTATATTTAGCCATCAATTTAAAACGACAAAAATATAGTGATTTTTAAAGTAGTCAGTTAATTGTATTTGCACTCATATTTTAACAATATATGTGATAAAAGTATTTATTTATTGACGCGAGATGCACTTGTGACACGCGAGATGCACGCACGTGTGACACACATAGAAACTAATTTTATTAAATTTACTTAAAACCTCTTACTGGACTTGGCTTTAGTTTTATGAAGCACATTTACCTTGACACTATGGTTATCCAATTGGAGATGTTCCAGCGCACAAAAAGACTCAAAAAACCTAATAATGTGATGTTTTGATTCCAGGATATAGCCTCCCCTAAGACCAAGCGATAATTGTGCCAGAAGAGGAATAGTTTTTAAATTGATAAAGCTTACTCTGCCTGTGAAGTTAAGGGACTTCAATTTGGGGGCATTAATTTCAATGACACCGTGGTAATTATCTGAGATTACAAGCACCAATTGCTCGAGCAACGGGCAATGAGAGATTAAGCTTCCAAGCAATTTGGACAAAATTGTAACATTATATAGCTTCAAGCTAATTAACCTTCCAAAACCTCTGAAGGCTGGTGGAGGAGATATTAAACAATCTTCAAGCGATAGATGCCTTAAATGCAAACATTTGAAAAATGAAGCAGGCAATTTGTATGGTTTCTCCCTGGTCGAAAATTTAAGAATAAGATGTTCGGTGCCATTTTCAGAGAGGAACCCTAACAACTGTCTAATATAAGTAAAGTTTTTCAAATACGGAATTGGGAGTGTAAACTGTTTAACTGGTCCTTCATGAAGGGTCAAAATGTGGCGGATAATATTTTCAAAGTAACTTGTTTGGTGTATTTTCCAAAGTGTTTGATCAAGAGTAATGATGATAGGCTATAATTGCATATTTTAGTCGCTTATTACACTCGAATTTACTGCACTTTAATTGAGTTTGCGCTTTAATCGCTAGTGTTTTGCACTAATTGTGTGTTTTATGCCTTGTAGGTGTGATTCCGACCTATATAGATGTTATGGAATGAATTTAAGTGATTTGAATCTTTGAAGTCTGAGTAAAAGCTCGAATTAAGCCGGGATCGTGTTCGGGGGTCAAATTTGATAATTAAGTACGAACGAAGACTTGAGGAGGCATATTGCGCACTGTCTAGTAAAATAGACATAACTTTTTTCTCAGAACTCCATTTGGGCTCTACAATATATGGTTGGAAAGATAACTCAAAGGGCTACAACTTTCATGTTTTACGTTTTCCCAAATTCCAAACGGAACAGGGTGAAAAATCGCGGTTCCACCGAAACCGTGGCAGAACCGCGGTAGAAGATGGTCGCGGACAACTGAAGAATCAGAGGGCATGTTTGGCCGCGGTTCCACCGCGACCGCGGCAAAACCGCGGCAGGAGGCGGAAATTTCAGGGACTTATGTGCAAAACACGGGATTTTAAGCCCTAAACCCTATATTAAACCAAGGAAGCCGGCCAAGAAAGGGGGGCGGGACATATTTTGGACATAGATTCGACCTAAGGAGGCAAGAACACATTGGGAGCAAGGCGGAGAATTCTTCTACGAGTTTTTCCTTCCTCTTCCTATTTTTCATTGTTGGTTATGACTTTTAGTATTGTAGTTTTACATACTATTATGAATAGCTAATTTGTTATCTAGAGTTTGATAGAACCTTTTGTAGGATAAATTCTTGTTATATTTTTATATAATTGAGCCATAGCTTTTCTCTATTTGTTCAACTACGTTTATATTCTGGTTGATTGAAGAGCTCTCAATTAGCTGTGCCTATTTAGTATGCATAACTCGAGAGAGAGTGCATATTTAGGTAATTGTTGAACAACACCACTCCCAGAGTATATGAGGGATCAATAACCGAGGGTTTAAAGGTGGGATTAGGGATAACGAAGCCTTGGGTGCGATCTGAAGTGAGCTGTATTAAAAGCCAGCTAGCGTAGCTCGGGAGAGTGCGTCTAGTAAATTATCGTAATTACTCGGGAGAGATTTACGGTAATAAGAGTGCTCATGATCGGTAGAGAATACTTAGGCGAAATTATAGAAGACATAGTGGGAAGGATTCCGACAATTGGGAAAATCATAACTCTAGACCTCCTTAATTTTTCTCTAACCCTCAGTGTCGTTAGTTATTAATTTACTATTTTAATTTGTTAGTTAAGTAGTTAAACACAAGAATCTTAATATCTATAAGTTAGGAATTGTTCAAGCTTGTCTTCTTGGTGATAGTGAACAACTGTAGCTAAACCTTAGTTCTCTGTGGGATTCGACTCCGAACTTGTAAACCGGATTATATTTGCAGCGACCGCTTAGTCCTTTTTATAAGGCATAGTTGGGCGAGATCAAGTAAATTGTGGAAGTCTACACCATTTATATCTCCATTTCCTTGATAAGATGCTTGCTCTCACAGCATCTAGTAAAAGCATGCGTATAAGAATATCATCAAGTACATCCTCAAGAAGGTTGCTTAGTATATCGAAAGGTAAAGTTCCACTGCAATGTCTTTTTTCAATTGGAGGCATCATAGTAGGATTAGGATTATAGGGAAAATGATTAAGATTAGGATAAACGAAAGTTAAGATTAAGATTATGGAAAAAGAAGAAGAAGAAGAAGAAGAAGCAAGAAACCAGTTGAAATTCTGAAGATAGAGCATCAAGGGACCATGGGCGGATCCACTGCACATACTAAATTTGGGCGGGTCGATTAACTTCCCAAGAGGATATGTATAGTTATACAGAAAATTTTAGGGTTCCAATGTATATAAACGAAAGCACATAAAATACGAAAAAGACAAATAGGTGCATTGGTCAAGTAGGGGTAGTTGGTTCTTTTATTGAGTGAGGGGTCGGGAGATCGAATCTCACTTTTAACAGGGTCAATTTTAATTTCTTTCTTTCACCCCAATCAGTTTTTTTTTTAAAAAAAAAGTTAAACCAGTAGTTATATTTTTTATCTACTTTATTTATTTCCTTTTTCAGACTAATTTTTCCCTGAATTTTATTTTACCGTCCGCCTTTTTTATTTTACCTAATAATTTTCTATAACAAAGAAAGAAAGAAACTCCAAAGTTCGACCTCTTCTACAAACAAATAGTTCCCCTAGAGTAGCAAAATCAATAATAGTTCCATTAGTATGGTTAAAGACACTAGCCGTTTATATAATAGTCGTTTATATAATTTCATTCATTAAGGTCATACGTATCGGCCAATGGAAACCATAGAAGTCCACCAACTAAGGTTGTAGTGATATGACTTGCGCTAATTATATCATTGTGATTCATAGTAATATCGTACATTATTATGATTGTAGTCATATAACCTAAGCTAATTATATCGTTGTGATTCATAGTAATATCGACCACTTGTATAATAGCCGTTTATATAATTTCATTCATTAAGGTCATACGTATCGGCCTATAGCAACCATATAAGTCCATTGACTAATATGGTTGTAGTCATATAACCTATGCTAATTATATCGTTGTGATTCATAGTAATATCGATCGTTTATATAATAGCCGTTTATATTAAGGTCATGCGTACCAGCCTATAGCAACCATATAAATCCATTGACTAATATGGTTGTAGTCATATAACCTATGATAAATATATCGTTGTGATTCATAGTAATTGACCGTCTATATAATTTCATTCATTAAGGTCATATGTATCGGCCTATAAGTCCATTCACTAATATGATTGTAGTCATATAACCTATGATAATCATATCATTGTGATTCATAGTAATTGACCGTCTATATAATTTCATTCATTAAGCTCATACGTATCGGCCTATAGCAACCATATAAGTCCATTGACTAATATGATTGTAGTCATATAACCTAATCTAATTATATCGTTGTGATTCATAGTAATATCGACCGCTTGTATAATAGCCGTCTGTATAATTTCATTCACTAAGGTCATACGTATCAGCTTATAGCAACCATATAAGTCCATTGACTAATATGGTTGTAGTCATATAACCTATGCTAATTATATCGTTGTGATTCATAGTAATATCGAATGTTTATGTAATAGTCGTTTATATTAAGGTCATACGTATCGGCCTATAGCAACCATATAAGTCCATTCACTAATATGGTTGCAGTCATATAACCTATTATAATTATATCGTTGTGATTCATAGTAATTGACCGTCTATATAATTTCATTCAATAAGGTCATATGTATCGGCCTACAACAACCATATAAGTCCATTCACTAATATGATGGTAGTCATATAACTTATGCTAATTATATCGTTGTGATTCATAGTAATTGACCGTTTATATAATAGTCGTTTAAATAATTTAATTCATTGAGATCATACGTATCGGCCTATAGCAACCATATAAGTCCATTCACTAATATGATTTTAGTCATATAACCTATGGTAATTATATCATTGTGATTCATAGTAATATCGACCGCTTATATAATAGCCGTTTATATTAAGGTCATACGTATCGGCCTATAGCAACCATATAAGTCCATTCACTAATATGGTTGTAGTCATATGACCTATGATAATTACATCGTTGCGATTCACAATTATAATATAGTCATCTATATAATTTCATTCATTAAGGTCATACGTATCGGCCTATAGCAACTATATAAGTCCATTCACTAATATGATTGTAGTCAAATAATCTATGCTAATTATACCGTTGCGATTCATAGTAATTGACCGTTTATATAATTTAATTCATTAAGGTCATACGCATAGGCCTATAGCAACCATATAAGTCAATTGACTAATATGGTTGTAGTCATATAATCTATGATAATTATATCATTGTGACTCATAGTAATATCGACCCACTTGTATAATAGCCGTCTATATAATTTCATTCATTAAGGTCATACGTATGATCTTATTTATATAATAGTAAATATATAATTATATATATTTTTATTGGTTAATCTTAATTATAATAAAAGGAAAATCATGAGTAAATATGGAAAAATTTCACATAAAAACAATAGGGCTCTTTAGTTTCAATTTTGTAACCCATATTTCAATTTACAACAAATTAGCCCAAGAATAATAGGCTAATACTCAACATTCAACTCCAATAGGTTCTCAAAATTACTATTTAATTTTTTAAAAAGATTGCTCAAGTTTTTAAGTTAATTTTTGAAGGGAAAATTTCACATAAAAACAATTGGGCTCTTTAGTTTTCAATTTTGTAACCCATGTTTCAATTTAAAACCAACTAGCCCAAGAATAATAGGCTAATACTCAACATTCAACTCCAATAGGTTCTCGAAATTACTATTTAATTTTTAAAAAAGATTGCTCGAGTTTTTAAGTTAATTTTTGAATCAGTAACTGTGACTCAAATATTAGTTCAACAAACCAAATTCATTTGGGTGGTGACAATTAGATTTTTAACAAGCTTAAATATGTGGGTTTAAATTTCGAATTTAATTTTGTGAGAAATTTGGAGTGGGTGTTATTTAGACTTGTTAGAAATAGTATAAGGAGGTTGTATATAAAATTTGAAGTCATTTAATGGAGATTTGTGCTGATTTTGAACAAGAATTGCAACTGAAAATCGTGGAAGAGGTTCGTCTACAGACACTTGTATAAAGGTGTATAAAATGTGTTATCCACTCATATACACTATTATACAAGATTATACATAATAATAGAAAAAACTAACTTCATCTTCTACCTTGCGTCTTTTCTGAAAGTTAACTCAAATCTTGCTCAAATCTACTCCAAATCACTTCAAATTTAAATTTAGAACTCCTTTTGATATTTTACATCAATTGGAACAATACCCAATCCAAGCAACTAACAAACTCAAAAAATCTACGATGGCCTTCAATGGTGGACTTCTACTCTTTAATTTTCTTACATTGCAACCAGGTGACACCAGGGGAGAAGCAGAAAATACACGGCCCCTTGAAGAGCATATGTAGAATATGTGAGAAGAAAAGAGAGTGAAAGCAACAGATGTGAGAATATAGATTTAACTCCATAGCTTTTAGAAGCAATGGTTGTAGGGGCACGGATTTTGAATTTCTTACTGCTTTTAAAATATGTACAATATGGGCTAGGTTGGGTAAAACTTAAAAATATGGGCTATTTTTTGTTATGGTGTGAAGTCATGTGTATTTTCTTGTAATTCTTTCATTAAATTTTAGGACTAATGTATTCTAGCTTCTTTACTAGGAGGGAAAACAAGATGACATTTTTGGACTAAAATGTTAAATACAATTTTCGGAGGGAAACAAAGAGAAAAGTAAAAATATGATTGGAGGAAAATTGAAAGTTTTTACTCTTTATATATCTCTTAAACACAAGAACAACATCTCCAACTCTCTAAACAAAATAGATACATTAAACATGAATGCTAATGGATGGATTGAAGAAGAATTCTATCCATGATTTTGGATGAAAGTGCCCAGATCGTACATTAAGCGTGATTTTCTGGTAATTTTCTTCTTAAATTTTCATGATTTGATAACTATTGATTATCCCAACTAGCAATGAACCCTGAACCCTATCTTTACATTATGTTCTTGCAGTTTCTTCCAAAGAGTATATGTGGCTATCTTCCTCCTATTTCGGTTAAAACAATGCTTCGATATAATGGGAAGGAGTGGGCTATGACTCTCACAAGTGGTGTTAGGAGAAGACTCGTCAATGGGTGGAAACAATTTGTTGTCGACAATAATCTGAAGAAAAGGAATGTTCTTCACTTTGAACTAGTTCAGGCTACATCAGGGGTTGTGATCTTCTCTGTTGAAGAGTTAGGATTAACTAATGCTTAGCTTGATAATTTCTTCTATTTAGTTATATGTAATGACTTCAAATGGAACAAAGTAATGGATTAATATGATTGTTCTTTATAATATTGTTTGTATTTTTTCCATTTATTATTGTTATATTTATTTATTTTAAGAAGACTACTGGTTTAAAAATAGCCAATCAAAATTGGGAAGTCATTTAACAATATATTTAGTGCAGAAGTCCCCCTATACTTTTCTATCATTTTACAACCAAGAACACGACAAGGAAGATTATTTTCTTTATTACAAAAAAAGTTTTAAAATCGACTTTAATTTGCTCATAGAGAAGTGGAAAAATCAACACGGAAAATCAAAACCTAAACCTAAACCTAAACCAAAAGAGAACCTAAACCTAAACAAGGATCAAATAATCTTTACATGGATTACTCAAGTCTTCTAAGGTTAAGACTATGAGATAAAACCTATGAAGTGCACTGCCATTATATGGCAGAAGTTTAAAAAAAAATCCAAAATCTGTGAAGTGCATGCCACTATATGGCAGAAGTTTTTAGAAAAAAAAATTCCAAAATTTGTATAGGCAGATGGATAAATTAAAGACAAGCTTCTATAATTAATTGTAGTCATGGAGGAGAGTAATAGTTGCATGGAGGAGTGTAATGGTGCATAGAGGAGTGAAATAGACTACTGGGAAGTGTAATGGTTGCATAAAGGAGTGGAAGGGGCTACTGGAAAGTGTAATGGATGCATGGAGGAGTGGAAGGGGCTGCTAGGATGTGTAATGTCTGCATGGAGGAGCGGATATGGCTATTGGGAAGTGTAATGGTTGCATAGGGTCTCTACCAAGAGACTTTAAGTCCTACTGGAAAGTTGAATAGCTATTATAATTGAGAGATTATAATTTTCCCTATATATTTTTCGAAAAATATGCTAGACCTACATAAAACAATCAAATGAAACTAAACTACATCTAAGCATAACGATGGATAGGACTCCGACCAAAAAAGCTGTTGAACAACCACTTTATGGTTCACCCGTTAGTCATAATATTTTGTACCAAGATCTTAAGCGTGACTTTAGTAAGCTGAAGCTTGAGGTTAATGAATTGATTGAGAGGGTGGTTTGTGATTCAAGCATTGATTACCTAAAAAGTGTGATGTTGGAGGAGCATCCTCTAACTTCACTCTATACTATGCTTGACGATATGCCCACACCATCCATCCAGAATGGAGCTAAGAGCAATTCTATCATTGTTATAACTAGTGATACCGAATCCGCATCCAAGACCTCAAAGTCTCTTTCCGTGAACCAGAATATTGAGTAGTCCATGCATTATGAAGTTTTATCTCAAGTTGTCTTTTTTGCTTATGGTGATATTTTTCTAATAGTCTATGAAGTTGTCTACCCCTTATGGTGATGTTTTTATTTATCTTGTTATATTTTGGTGATGTTATAATGAAATCTCATATTAATGAATGAAATTATTATTATGTTTTGAATCTTTTTTATTATTACTTAATGGTCGTTTGATTCAAGTTAACAAAACAATCCTATTGTCTTCAATATTGCAACTGTTCCTTTGATGCCTAATAAAATGAAAGTACTAATAGTAATGTTTGTAAAGATTAATTAAGTCCTCTGAAATTGGTCAATTTTTTTTCCAAATTAATATAGCACATTGAACTTATGACACCAACTTGTACAATAGGAAAATGTATTGTCAATAAATACGAAGATAGTTGAGTACTTGAAGATGCAACATATAGCACATACTTAACTTATGAAGATAGTTGATGAGTACTTGAAGGTAGTTGAGTGCTTATGAATCAATGTAGTACGGATTAAAACAAGTGCAAAATTATAACACTTTGGCACTTACAAGGTTCCAACAATATAGACAAATTAAAACATTCAGTTCAGTTCAAAATATTTTTTTTTTAAAAATTCAACAGACATATTTTATTTCATTCCAACAGGGAGTACAAAAGACAAAGACTTTGGCATCCTAAATACTCTATTCTACAGAGGTCGAATGCAGCAATCAGTAACACATCAAACTAAACAATCAACCTGATAATAACCAAACTAAACAATAATAAAAAAACTGAACAAAATACTCTTATCAACAATCAAACTGAATAATTTTTTGAGATCTTCATCCCTACAAACATTCCAGCTAACAACACAGATAACATATCACTTGATCCAGCATCACTTTCATCAACACACGAACTTGAAGATTGTTCTTCAATGTAAATATTTTCTTTTTGGAATTCATTGAATGTTGTTACTGCTTCATCATAAGATTTGTAAGATTTGAAGATGCTTCCTTTGAAACCTATAACCATAGGAGCACAATCATACCAAGAGTTGTATAATCCGGGCCTTTTACCACGAAATACCACATACACCTTCGATGCCGATATATTATCAGCTTGAGATCCATTTCTAAACTCATTAAAAGTTTTTATGGCTTCATCATAAATTTTGAAGGCCTTGAAGATGCTGCCCTTGACACCAATAACCATAGGAGCACGCTGATGCCAAGAGTTGTACAATCCAGGCCTTTTATCACGAAACACTACATAAACTTTCGAAGCATTATTCCTGTTCCCGTGGTCCATTCCATAATCTAACCTTAAGAATGATAAGAGATGAAGAAGGAGAAAATAAAGATAGAAAAATGGGGGCTAGAAAAGCTTTTTAGGTTTGGCCAAATATATTAAGCTTTTTAGGTATTAATCATAAATACCAGTAGTTTAATTTTTGTATGTATTTTCTCTAATATATTATGTGTATATTTTAGTGCATTTCGGTAATTAGTATAGTATATGTATATTTTAGTGTATTTTGTTTAATTAGTATAATATAATATGTGCTTTATGGAAAATGATGTAGCATACAACTTGGGAAGGTAAGACAATTAAAAAAGTGAGAGAGAATTGTTTGAAAAAAATTGAATTAAAAACAAAAATCTACCAAAGGGTATATATGGAAAACGAAAATATACAAATATTCATTATTCCCTCAAAAGCCGTGCGAAATTATCGTAATACCCCCATTCTGGACATTTGGGCCATTCTTAGTTTGGCCAAATATATTTTTCGTTATTTTAAATGAAATTTTATAATCAAGTTTGCTTAGCCAACAAAGTGCTGCCTCCTTATAATTTAATTTCCTAATCTAATCATGAGCAAGTTCTTATTTAATTATGTTGGCTACAGAATTTTATGGAAGATATGTTCCTGCAGCTACATCATATGTAATAATACAAGTAGATTACCCTTTTTAATATTTTCTTTTAATAATTCTAATGCTTTTTTTTTTTGGTTTGTACTTTCGAAAACTAACATTTGTTTAACTTATTTGTCTTTTTATTTTATAACCATGATGTTTGTAACGACCCGGCCGGTCGTTTCATGAGTTACCGCTCCGTTTTCCCCATTTCTGTTTCTTATTTTCTTGTTCAACTGTATTATGTGTTATCGGGTTGGTTGGCTCGGGTTCGGAGAGGTTTTGGTAAGGTTTGAGACACTTAGTCTCTTTTGAGAAAGCTTAAGTTGGAAAAGTCAACCGGATGTTGACTTATGTGAAATAGGGCTCGGATGTGAATTCCGATGAGTCGGATAGCTTCGGGAGGTGATTTGGGACTTAGGAGTGTGATCGGAATGTGTTTTGGAGGTCCGGAGTAGCATTAGGCTTGAATTGGCGAAAATGGATTTTTGGCGTTTTTCGGTTGATAAGTGAGATTTTGATATAGGGGTCGGAATGGAATTCTGGGAGTTGCAGTAGGTCCCTGTGTCATTTGGGATATGTGTGCAAAATTTCAGGTCATTCGGACGTGGTTTGATAGACTTTTTGATCGAAAGCGGAATTTGGGAGTTTTTGGAATTCTCAGGCTTGAATCCGATGCAAATTCTGTGTTTCGATGTTGTTTTGAACGTTCTAAAGGTTGGAACAAGTTTGAATGATATTATGGGATATGTTGTCATGTTTGGTTGAGGTCTCGAGGGCCTCGGGTGAGTTTCGGGTGGTTGAACGGACCAATTCAAGTTGAAAAGGATTGCAGAAAAACTGATGTTGGTGTTGCAGGTTTTTGACCTTCGCGTTCGCGATGGAGGTCCCGCAATCACGAAAGGTAAGGCTGTGAGGCTGTAAAGTTGGCCTTCACATTGGCGAAGGTGGTCTCGCCATCGCGAAGGGTCAAGGTCTATGGTCATCGCGTTCGCGAGGTTCTTGCCGTGTTCGCGTAGAGGAAAGTGAGCAGATGGGGTCCTGGAGGGTTGTTCTTCGCGTTCGCGGGCGGGGAATTGCATTCGCGCTGGGTTGCGAAGCCAAGCCTTCGCGTTCGCGTACTGGGAGTCGTGATCGCGTAGAAGGAAAAATGGTCAATTAAAATTTATGTGTCGCGAACGCGAGGCGTTGACTGCGTCCGCGATGAAGGATTTTTAAGTGCTGGGCAGAATCTTTTAAAAGATCAACTCCGCGACTTTTAACCTAAGTTTCACCATTTTTGGGCGATTTTAGAGCTTTTTGAAGAGGATTGAAGAGGGAATCAAGGAGGAACACTTGGAGGTAAGATTTATGAACTTAATTCTCAATCCTAATGTGATTTCTACCTAATTAATCATGGAAAATGTGGAAAATAAGCCTGAAAATTTAAAGTTAGGGCTTGGGAATTGGAGACTAAATCTAGGGATTTGAGGGGTCATTTGTGGTCGGATTTTGAAGTATTTGATATGCATGAACTCGTGGGAAGATAAGGGTTCCATTGATATTAATTTTATCGGATTCTGAGACGTGGGCCCGGGCGTCGAGTTTGGTTAATTTCGGGATTTGTGTCGTAATTTGATTATTTTCGCATGGGCTTCGTTCCCTTAGCATATTTTAACGTCATGATTCTGATTTTGGTTAGATTCGACGCGAGTTGAGGTCGAGACGAGAGGCAAAGGCATCGCGGGCTAGAGTTTGGACCGGTTAGAGGTAAGTAATGATTGTAAATGTTGTCCTGAGGGTATGAAACCCCGAAATTCACATCGTTGTGCTATTTTGAGGTGACGCACACGCTGGATGACGAGCGTGGGGTCGTGCACCGTTGGGGATTGTGACTTAGCCCGTACGACCGTTTAATTGCGTATTTGATTGAAAACTGTTTGCTATCATCATGGCTTGGGCTGAATGCCATATTTGGGCCTCGTGCCAGGATTTTACTACTATTCCTCACTGTTTTGACTTAGTATTTGTATTCAGTCATGCTATATTCTACTGTTTTCACAACTCTGCCATCTTTACTTGTTTTTGATATTTTAAATGATATTTTTGGGCTGAGCATCATACTGTTGCCCGTGTGGCTTGTAAGATTCTAACTGATTAAGGCCGAGGGCCTGTGTTGTGAGGATACGATAGGATCGGGATGCACGCCGCACCATGTGGTACTGATTGTGACATATGAGAGGGCGAGGGCCAGATTTATTATGCCACGAGGTGGCTTGTGGTTTATATGAGGCCGAGAGCCTCTTGATTATGCCACGAGATGGCTTATTATTGCGCTTGGGCCGTAAGGGGCCCCTCCCGGAGTCTGTACACCCTCAGTGAGCGCGGGTATCTAGTTTTATATAGCCCGAGGGGCTGATGTTGTTCCATGTTGTTGCCCGAGGGGCTGATACGAGTGATTGTGAGATAGCCCGAGGGGCTGGTTCTATTGGTATTTTGCCCGAGGGGCTGTTTTGTGTTTCTATCTTTTATACTTATTTTCATTCACTCGTTTGAACTGCTGAAAGATGTTTTACAGAGGTTTTACTGAACTAAGAAGTTCTTATGAGTTTTTACTGTTTACTATATTGTGCTGGTTTTACGCTGCCTCGTTGTAGCATTTTGCTATGTATTTACGTGTTTTCTTATCGCTCAGCTGCCTTTACTTTTATTACTTACTGAGTTGGCGTACTCACATTACTCCCTGCACCTCTTTATGCAAATTCAGGAGTGTCAGGTCACGCTAGCGAGGGTTGATTTGCTTCCAGCAGGCTTGTTTGGAGTTGACTAGGTAGCTGCTCGGCGTTCGCAACCTAGTGCTTCTCCTTCCTACTATAATTTAGTTGTCCTAGTTTCGTAATAGACTATGTTGTCTTTTTATACTCTTAGACGGATTTTAGATGCTCATGACTGGTGACACCCCGTTGTCGGGCTGTGTTTTATTTCCGCATTTCTTTTATTTCGCTCTGTTGTGCGCTTTATGAGTTTTAATGACTGCTTATGGATTATTATAACTGTTAATTGGTTTTGGAGGTTTGTGTCGGCTGGCCTTGTTTCATGAGAGGCGCCATCACGACCGGTTCCGATTTGGGGTCGTGACAAGTTGGTATCAGAGCCTAGGTTACATAGGTCTCAAAAGTCATGAGCAAGTTTACTAGAGTCTCGCGGATCGGTACGGAGACGTCTGTATTTATCCTCGGGAGGCTGCAGAACCTTTAGGAAAACTTCATATCTTGAAATTCTTGTCGTGCGAATTTGTTGATCCGAGTACTAAACTTCTATTATTTTATTCTCTCACAGATGGTGAGGACACGAGCGATCGGACAGGATGGACGACCACCAGTACCACCAGCTGGGGCCACTAGAGGCCGAGGACGTGGTCGAGGCCGTGGTAGGGGCAGAGGTGTAGCCCGCACAGCAGCTAGGGCAGCACCTACAGATCCACCAGCCGCCCCAGTTCAGGATCATGTCCCAGTTGTGGGCGCTCCAGCAGCACCAGCTCAGGCACCAGCTGTGCCCATCGTGATTCCAGGTCTTCAGGAGACCTTGGCCCAGATCTTGACCGTGTGTATGAGTCTTGCTCAGGTGGTCATAGTTTCTACTGCCACAGCCACTTCTCAGGCCGGGGGAGGAACTCAAACTCTCGCCGCCCACACACTCGATCAGGTTGTTCAGGGGTTGCAGACACCGGAGGCATCACTAGCCCAGCCGGTGGCAGCTGCTCAGGGTTATATAGCTCCAGCTATGCCAGAGGACGAGCAGCGCAGATTGGAGAGGTTTGGCAGACTCTAGCCTCCTACTTTCAGTGGTGTAGAGGGCGAGGATGCCCAGGGTTTCTTGGATAGATGTCAGAGGATTCTTCGCACCGCGAGTATTCTGGAGACCAGTGGGGTCGCATTCACGACTTTTCAGCTTATAGGTGCTGCTTCACTTGGTGGGAGGCTTATGAGAGGCGTAGGCTTGTTGATTCGGCGCCCCTTACTTGGCAGCAGTTCTCCGCTCTATTTTTGGAGAAGTATGTGCCACAGTCCCGCAAGGAAGAGCTGTGTAAGCAGTTCGAGTAGTTGCGACAGGGAGATATGAATGTTACACAGTACGAGATGAGGTTCTCCGAGTTAGCTCATCATGCTCTTTGGTTGGTTGCTACAGAGAGAGAGAGAGAGGATCAGGAGGTTCGTTGATGGCCTCACCTATCAGCTTCGGATTCTCATGACCAAGGAGAGGGCGTCAGGTGCTACGTTTGAGGAGGTTGTTGATATCGCTCGTGAGATTGAGTCAGTTCGTAACCAGGAGCGAAAGGAGAGGGAGGCCAAGAGGCCTCGAAGATCTGGTAATTTTAGGGGGTGCTCCTTCGAGGGGTCAGTTTCAGCAC